CCACATACTCGTGATGATCCGCTAAGAAACGGCTCCATTTCGACCACGCAATCCAATGACCGGGCTGACGAGGACCGGTACGACGAAAGTGAGGAGAGATCTAATCCTGATATATTTGTTGATTCTGATCACGAATCGTAAGTGATATATTTCTTTTCTATAAGTCTTTTCTATAAATCTTTTCTATTATTTCTTTTATATCTTTTCATATTCTAGAACCAAACTTTCTTCTTTTTCTTTTCTTTTCTTTTCTTTTACGAGGATTAGATAAGATACTCCCCCGTACCTCCACCAAAATAAACCCTTGGCACCTGAGAACAGGCGACCCAAGGTTCCAACAGCACCGGGATCCATCTTTTTTATCACCCTGATTACGCCTGGCTTCGTGTCTCCTCCCCCCTAGTTATACCTAGTTCTAGTTAACTTTCTAGAGCTCTGACTAGCTTTCAATCCCCTCTTCCCTACCCTTCATACCCCCTATCTATCTATCTGCCTGGGCCTCCCTTTTATTATTGATATTATTATTATATATTTTTATTTTCTTAGTTTTATTTTTATAACCTATATCATTTTTTGGAAATTGGATTTTGTTTCTTTTTATTTTATTTTATCTTTTTACCTTCGTCTTGTTAGCATTCCCACTTCACGCCTCTCGTTTTCTTTTTCTTTTCCTTTCTTTTCTTTCCGCTGGTCCTGCGCCGAGTCCGGATGAACACCACAAGATTTGATACCAACCAGACGTTCTATTAGATCCAATACATCTTCGCATCGACCCTCGGTCCCCTCGACGCACCCTTCTCAAATTGGCCATTTGACACAATCTTCGCCTATTATCCAAGCCGAGCACCTACCCGAGGCCCACAGTACCGACCAAGAAGCTCTCGAGAGTTTGTCGAGGTCAACTGCCAGCTTAGCTACTAGTGGTTATTCCAACGAGCCGGCTCGTCGACCACAAGACAGCACCTCTGGCCTGAACCTACCTCACGACTCGTCCTCACGCAGGTCTAAATCACCCGCTGGCAGGTTGAAAGAAGCTTTCAGGGGCAAGAGGAGTGCCAACACCTTTCCTACCCTAGGTAGCCAGATCGACGTTGTCGACCACGAACCTGCAGCTCCCTCTCCCCAAAGACCGACGACCGCCCCGACTTCTCAGCCGAGCTCCATCGTCACGTCCCAGTCCGACGCAAACGATAGTCGTAAAGGCTCGCACGAACGGTTGCCTCAGAAGAGACCCACCTCGATCGATACTTCTGCTCGCCCTCACACTCCTCCCTCGTCTGAGCCCGCAGCTCCCGTCATCGTTAATACTCCGCCAACACCCACCGAGTCACATCTCCCGAGAGATAGGAGCTCTTCATTCACCTCGCTTCCGAACCCCAATGTGGTTGTCTCCCCTTCGGGTCGCATGATATCACACCGACGAGTGAGATCTGGATCTGGAACAAGCATTGGCCCCAGCAAATTATCGAATATAACTGCGGCCCCACTATCACCAACTCCCGAAAACGCAGTACCCCCAACCCCAGGAAGTGGATTCTTCTCCAGCGTGCTTTCCGCTGCACAAAACGCTGCAAATACCCTGAGCAATACTATCACACCTGCTAGCGTTGTTTCCGGGGGAAACAAGTCCAAGAGCAATAACATTCCTCGAGAGGCACCGCCGGGAGACGACGATAGGGTCGAAGTCGAGCCGTCCGCGGAACAACCCAGAGATTCTGACATGGGCAACAAGGAACCTGCTGTTAAGACGCTCGGTATGGGGGATTTGAGCTTGAGTCAGTTGGGCATCCAAGAGGGCGCCAATGCCGGGCCAACCCCGACAACCTCTCGATTTCCCGAGGCCACTACTATGGGATCTCGCAGTCGCTCGGGATCGGCGCCTACAGAACCTGTGAATCTCCCTGTTAACGGCGATGGTCCTGCCGAGAATCTCTCCGACGCTGCCGTGACTACACCGCCAACCAGTCTGTATGAGGGCAAAACGGGTCTCCAGCGTAGTAGCAGCATAAGAAGCGCTATCTCGCGGAGACGCAAGCGTGGAAGCACCGGCGGAACAGGAGGCACTGGTAACACCATTGGTGCTGCTATCGCCGCAGCTAATTCCTCGGTTGCGCACCCATCTGCTACTGGAAGCACTCCTAAACTCACAGGGTTTGCTGTGGCGAGTAAGAAACGCAATCGGGATTTCCACGCCCTGTTCAAGAGCGTGCCCGATGACGACTATCTTATCGAAGACTACAGCTGTGCGCTCCAGAGAGAAATCCTAGCACATGGTAGGCTCTATGTTTCTGAGGGGCATTTATGTTTTAGCAGTAATATTTTTGGATGGGTTACCACTCTCGTGATGAGTTTCGATGAAATCGTATCTGTCGAAAAAAGAAGCACGGCGCTGGTCTTCAAGAATGGGCTCATGATTACAACTCTCCATGCCAAGCACGTTTTTGCTAGCTTCACGAGCCGAGACTCTACGTACGATCTCATTGTGAATATCTGGAAGCTTGGACATCCCTCTTTGCGGAGTTCGCTCAATGGTGTATCCCTCGATGAGACGGGGGGCGATAAAACTGAGAAAGTGGAGGATGGTGAAGTTGTTGTTGCCAACCCGAGTCTCTCGGGCTCGGAAATTGACGATAGCGAGGATGGAGATGATATCTATGACGAGGACCAGGATGATGCTGATTTGCCTGATACAACGCATCCGACCGATTCCAGCCCAGCAGAAACCGATGGTGAGAAAGCTGTAACGAGAAAGGCGTCCGGAGCCGTCCATGCCAACGGGGCTGCTGACAAGACGGATGCTGCACCCGCGTCCGGCGGTGCAGCTGATTTCCCTGGCCCGGCAACCCATGCTCCGACTGACTGCGGCGATGCGGATGCTCACTATGAGGTCGTGGTAGGAGACGATATTATCGCCGCTCCTCTAGGCAAAGTCTACAATTTAATATTCGGGCCAGCTTCCGTGGCATTTATGGGGAAATGGTTAACCGTCGAGCAAAAGTGCCTTGACCTGCAGATGGAGGACAAGAAGGGATTGTCGCTGGACAACAAGACTCGAGGCTACACATACATCAAGCCTCTCAATGCTTCGATAGGACCGAAGCAGACGAAGTGCATTGTGAGCGAGACGATCGAAAATCTTGACCTAGAGAAAAGTGTCAACGTGCAAGTATCTACGCAAAATCCGGATGTGCCAAGCGGAAATGTGTTTAGCGTGAAGACCAAGTATTGCTTGTCTTGGGCCGAGAACAACGCGACTCATGTGACGGTCAACTGCACTACGGAATGGACTGGCAAGAGTTGGATCAAGGGTAAGCCACTTATTAGCATCTGCCCTTTCCAGTTACCTCGATACTAATGCTTCTTAGGACCTATCGAGAAGGGTGTCAAGGATGGCCAGACACAATATTGCAAAGACCTTTTCGCCAGCCTCAAGGCAGCAGTATCCTCTCGGCCTCGCTCTGCCACCCTCAACGGCGGAGCCACCAAGGGCAGGAAGAAGAAGGGCAAGAGCAAAATGCACATGGCATCCAAGGAAAGCCTCAGTAGTCCGGCAGCCGCCGCAGCTTCCAAGGCCCAAGATTGGGGTCCCCTCGAGCCATTGCACGGCATCCTAGGACCGGTTGTCGATATTATTAAACCTATACTTACGGGTAATGTTGTATACGGACTTCTCGTTGGTTTGCTAGTTGCCACGTGGTTCAATTTTGGTTCCCACCGCCAACCACGTGGTGTGGGTTACGGGCGAGACCTAGGTTTTGTAGGCTACCCGGACCGCGCAGTTGCCTACGAAGAGATATGGAGACGGGAAGAAACCGAATTGTGGGATTGGCTAGAAGAACGCGTAGGCCTACAACGTATGAATGAAGGTGCCATGCCTATTCGTAAACGGGTGGTGGAACCACGGACTATGGAAGATAAGCTGCGTGAGGAGCGTATGAACGAACGGGAGGTCGAGGAAGCGATTAAGGTTACGGAAGAGAAGCTCCAGGTTTTAAGATCGGTCATGAACCGCAAGATAAACCCCAACAAGTCTAACGCTCAGAGTAAAGAGTCGGCAAAGATACCTGCTGCCGAGACGTAGCAATCAGTGGAGTAAGGAATAAGAAGGAGACTCGTAAGAGGAGGAATCAGATCAAGAACCCGTGGAACATATTTAAACCAGCACACGAACGCATGCACGCACGCACGCACATACATCTCACATCACCATGACAGATCGACCTATGAATCACCCACGATACCAACCAATCCTACTTACATTTTTTACTCACCTTTTGCACGAATCTAACCTCATACTACGACGAAAACACCTCAGTTCCTTAATGTATCCTTAAGCATATGTACTAAACACACACGCATCTCTCGGGTTTTATGGCGGTGATGCTGTTGTTGTCGTTGGTCGAAAGTTTTATCGAACATGCACATACTTTCATTATCATTATCGAAATATTTTTTATTTTCGGAAAAGGAATTTCATTCTTGGCCTTTTAAGGTTGTTGTTTGTTTTGCGGCTCTAGGGGGGAGGGGGGGTTCTAGGTGTTTTTTTCTTTTTATTCTTATCCTCTTTTTTTCTACATAATGTCCGTCGGGCAGATACCTAGGTACAACATCATTGCGTGTAGTATTAATCTGGAAAGGAAAAAAAAAGTTTCTGGTGGGTGGAAAGAGATAAGAATATTGGATAAATACAAATAAATTTCTTGAGAAAAAGTCTTGATATATGGATTCTATTTTTTATGGAATTCTTAGTTGTGTATGAGTGTATGACGTGTGAGAAGTGAGTTGAATTGATGGGGAGTGAACGACGTTGCGTTGAGTTGAGACTCGACAAAAAGGTTGAAAGCATTAAGTAGGTACAGGCAATGGGTATGTATGTATGCATTATTGTATTAATTGTACGAACAATTCATTGTGAGAAGTGAGAGAGACAGCAGAGACAAGAAGAAATTCTAGATTCGTAAATAGGATAAAAAAAAATTGGGAAGGAAAAAAAAACAAAGCACGCAGCACGGGACTCGAACCCGCAACCCCAGTCTTTCACTATATAACCAAAGAGACAAATCTCGTTGGAGAAAAGCCCTGAATCTTGGTAAATAGGAGGACTATGCGCTATCCATTGCGCCAACTGCGCCTTTTTTTGGTCTCCTAGGCGGGTTTGCTAGAGCTCTGGCGTCTAGTAACTCTTAGGACGAGAGTTTGGGGTTCTTATGGGGGGTTATATGGATTAGGTTGGGTGGGAAGAGGGGGGGTTTAGTGGGGTAGAGGGAGGGAGGGGTTTACGTAAGGGGGAGGCAGTGGACCTGATGGTTTGGGTTAGCGTGGGCTTAGGTAAGGATCCTTCTTTAGGTAGTAGGTATTTAGCGGGAGACAAGCTGGGAAACAAAGAAACTTGTTGTAGGGGATTGTGGGGATAGATATATATAGGGAGAAAGGGGGAGGGAAAGGGACCGTGAACCGAGGGAAAAAAACAAAGGAAAAGGGGAAACAGAGATAGTAATGGCTGTCTATCTGTCTGTTGGTGGGATTATTGTTGGTTACATATAAAAACGGCACGGTAGGTAGGCGAATTATAGATGATATATCAAGTACCTACCCAAACAGAAGCGCTTAGGGACGATGTATCAGGTAAATGGATGGCAGATGGATAGGTCATTTTTCTAGTTCTACGTTTGTAGTTATTATTTCCGACCTACCAGGTTAAAAGCAGTGCGGTAAAGGGCATGCGTATACCCATACGTAGGCACTTATAGGCATCCTAGGTTGGGTGGTGTTCACCTGGACAGATGGATGGCTGCATTGGCTGGTGGCTATCCATCTGAGTAAAAGTGACCTGTTTCTTAAAGCTCCATGGGATTCTCGGTTCTTGAATGCGCAGGCAACCGGTCTGCCCGGTATCCTAGACATGCCCAAATGCTATAGGCCAATTGACATGATGGCAACTGGTTGTTTCCAAAGAGAATCGCCACCTACCTAGAGCCTAGAGGTAGATCGAAATCGACCATTGTGCACCACTAACCTCTAACTAAGCCACATCTTCAATTAACGTTTCGCTACTGCGCCACACAGAAATTCCATTAACGCGGTTGCACGACTGACAACGCGTCTCCCTTAAACCCTTGCTACCAGGTTCTCTAGTTCTACCTAGTAATACCTATACTACGACAATATATTCCACAGAACAAAAAAAAAGGGGGGGGCAATACATAAAAGACAGTCACACATCTTTAAAAGAATCCATAACAAATAAAACCTGAAATCCAGCAACGGGAAGAGAGAGGGAAATAAATCATCACCAATAGTGCCACACGTACACACTACATCACCCACCATGGACGACGACCGGGACTCGCTCCCCGCGCACTACAACGACGGGAACCGCGCATTCCTGCAAGCGCTCCTCGCACGAGGGACTATGACCTTCAAAGAGTCGCAGCCCATCCTCGCCGCCATATTCACCGCGCAGGACGGCGCCGCCTCGGGACGGCGCACGGAGCCCAGCGAAGTCACGCAAGCGGACTTCGAATCGTACGTCTCGGCGGCATCATCCGCGCTGTCCGCCTTCGACCTCGAAGTGCGCAGCGCACGGCACCAGACCACGGGCACGCGCGTGTACGCGGTAGTGAACACCACCTCGGACGCGCTGACGCAGCTCGCGACGCTGCACAACGCCGAGGAGATCGCCTTCGTCAAGCGCGTCATCGACGCCATGTTCGAGAAGTACAACACGCCGCGCATGGAGGTCATGTGCCTCGACGAGATGCAGGCGAACAAGCTGCGCGGCGCGCCGCGGCCGTCGGACGCGCAGCACCTCCCCCCCGCGGACGAGGACACGGTGATGCAGGAAGAGCACGCCCTCCGCGGCCTCAAGAGCAGCGAGGCCGAGGCCGTCATGCGCAGCATGGTCGCGGAGGGCTGGTTCGAGCGCAGCCGCGAGGGCGGGCTGTACGGGCTCAGCGCGCGCGCGCTGCTGGAGCTGCGCGCCTGGCTCGTCCATTCGTACAACGACCCCGACGCCGAGGACGGCGAGTGGCAGCGCGTCAAGTTCTGCGAGGCCTGCCGCGAGATCGTGACCGTGGGCCAGAGGTGCGCGGACCGCGACTGCGGCGCCAGGCTGCACGATATATGCCTCGATGCGTTCTGGCGCACGCGCGGGGGCAAGAGGGAGTGCCCCCGCTGCGCGAGGGCGTGGGATGGCAGGCACTTTGTGGGCGAACGCGCGGTCACGGAGACGGAGGCGTATAGGCGCGGGAGGAGGAGGAGCGGGAAGGGCGGGAGGAGCAGTAATTTGGTTGAGGAGATTATGCATGAGGGTGAGGAGGAGGAGGGGGAGGAGGAAGAAGAGGGAGGGGAGGAGGGTGGGGATAGGGATGAAGAGGAGGAATGAGAAATGAGTTTGGGTCTGTAAACTTGGCGAGTGATATCACGATACACGGCGGGAAGGGATAAAGGGGTCATGTTTAGGTGGTCATGGGTTTTTGCTCCCGGATAAGAGAGGGATAGAGATACCCGTTATCTACATCTGCCTGTCTAATGATTCAAGGCATATTAGGGGAGGGTATGATGCTACATACATCTTGATTATAATGGTTTGAATTACTTCGCCATAACCTTCGTAGGGTACTACGAGTATAAAAAGGGGGAAGGTCATGGTTTTTTACTCAACTACGGCATGGCTAGGTAGCAAAAGACCAAGGGAAATACAATAGACACAAATAATAGCATATTCGAGTAATAGTGCTTTGCAAGTCCAAGGAGTTGCCAGTGTGTCCATGGGATATACCTGCATACACGGATACGTACCTCCCTTATGGCGATCATGGGGAAACTGAATGATCTGCGGCGAATTAAAGAATCAAAGTTGGGCCAGATCTTGTTTCACAGGGCTTTGCCACAAACCTGAGGTAAAGAGCTGCCCAGGTGTAATGTAGGCCTCATCCCCGTGGCTGTGCGATAAGCACATCCAGTTATACGGGCATAAGTGACGTAGCGTCGATTTAGTTTCCCCCTTGTTCCCGCTGCTAGAGGTGCGTTTAAATGTGGGGACCTTTGTGAAGCACACCTTAGGTAGGTGCTTCTTGCCCGCATTGCATTGGAAGGCCTCCTATCTAACCTACCAAACCTACCAAAGCCTACCAGTCACACCTGTACTTTCTCAACATAAAACCGGCTTAAGCGGTGGTGCAGTTCCTTACTTACTTAGTAATACCTCCCTAGCCCCCCCTTCTTCGACATACATAAGGTTATTTATTAACCTTTCTTTGTTTCCCTCATTCTATTCTTACCCAACTTATCCCCCATTTCCACTCCTCACCACATTCAACCGGGAATAACAGGTTACAGAATCACTCATCCCCTCACCTCTAATCTGCACCTGTGTATTCTACCTCGACTAAACAATAGCACATTACCATCTGCAAAAATGCTCGAGTACTTGACGTATAAGAAGGTGAAGAAGCACCGTGGCCAAAAGGCCGAGAGGGAACAGTTGGAGAAGGACAAAGCAGAAACTCCCACTCCTACTCCGTCCGAAGGGCCATCTCCACCCCTTCCCAAGCGTCCTGAAGCTTTCGGAGAAGGTGCACCTATTCTTGACCCCGAGGATGAGAAGTTCCTCGAGAGTCTCACGCAGCTAGGCACTAAAGGAGCTGGTGACGACGATGAAACCCCGCCTCCTTTGCCACCTCGCATCAAGACTCCCGTCATCGACCTGGACAGCGACAGCTCTAGCACTGCCAGCAAGGAAAGGGAAAAGGAAACGAAGAAAGCAAAGGGAAAAGAAAATGATGAGCCCCAAGGCAAAGGAAAAGATCATGCCAAGACCAAGGAGAAGGAAAAGGAGAAGGGGAAAGAGAAAGGCAAAACCAACCGGTTCTCCATCGTCACAAACCTCCCCCGCAGCATCTCTCTGAGGCGCAAACCAGTCGCCACCCCCAACAAACCCACCACCGGCCTCGCCCCCGCAGCAACCTCCCTCGCGGTACCCGAGCCCGAGCGAGCAGCCGAAGTCCAGCGCGAAGAGAGCGACATGGCCAAGGTGCTCGACGACCTCGACCTCTCGGCGCGCAACAACCGCGCCTTCTCGCTCTCCAAAGAGAGCGCCGAGCTGGCGCGGCGCTTCACCCAAGTGCTGCGGGACCTGGCGAACGGCGTGCCGACCGCGTACGACGACCTGACGCACCTGCTCGACGACCGCGACGGCGTGCTCAACCGCAACTACGAGAAGCTGCCGTCGTCGCTGAAGAAGCTCGTCGCGCAGCTGCCCGAGAAGCTCACGGGGTCCCTCGCGCCCGAGATCCTCGCCGCCGCCGCCGAGGCGCAGGGGCTCAAGGAGGACGACGGCATCAAGGGCGCCGCCAAGCGCTTCCTCACGCCCAAGAACCTCCAGGACCTGGTCACCAAGCCCGGCGCGCTCGCCGGCCTGCTGAAGGGCATCGTCAACGCGCTCAAGACCCGCTGGCCCGCCTTCATGGGCACCAACGTGCTGTGGAGCGTCGCGGTGTTCCTGCTCCTCACGGCGCTGTGGTACTGTCATAAGCGCGGCCGCGAGGTGCGCCTCGAACGCGAGGCGTCGGAGCGGGAGGCGGTCGAGCGGGATGCGGATCCGATCGATGGGAGCGAGCGCATCGAGGAGCTGCCTGATGATCCGCAACTGCCGGCTCCGGCTTCGGCACCGCCGGCGGCGGCGGCGGTGATAGAGGGGGTGGGAAGTACGGCTGGGAGGGGGAAATAGGGGGGGAGGGGGGGATATAGGTTCGGTGTTCCGGTCCGAGAGTAGACAATATGGGGTACAGCAAATTTGTATTAGAAACGGACAGGAATGGGAGACTTCGGGTTCGGATTCAGATTTAGATCGGATTGGGGGGGAGAAGAGAGAGGGAAAGGAAAGGAAAGGAAAAACGAACTACGCTAATAACGCTCCATGATAAATAATGAATATTGATGATGATACCCGGTAATAATTCTATGTTATATACATATCTTCTCCCCGCCCTCACCCCTCTTTCTCCATCCCCTTTTCCCTTCCTCTCTCTCTCTCGTGAACTACTTTCTCTCCCTCACTTGTAGTTATAAGCTCTAGAACGCGTACCCTAGACAAACAAAGAAAAAGAATCAACTATCCTTTTTCTTCTT